CCGGCATTTAAAAATGGCGGCTCCCCGCTTATGCAAATGAAGCCCGGGAAATTCAAATCCTGGGCTTCATTTGCAAGTGCGCTATGCCTACATTACCCCGCTAGTTCGAACTAGCGGGGTAGTGTAGACATACCCTAAGAGAATAAAAACAGAAGCTTAATAGCATATATATAGGGTATGTCTACACTACAGCATTAATTCGAGTTAGCTTAATTCAAATTAACTATTTCGAATTAAGTTAATTCGAAATAATGCATCTATACACAAAAACTATTTCAAAATAGTGTTATGCTATTTCGAAATAGCGCGTCCACACTGAGTGGATCCTGAACCGAAGTTAAGGCTGGCCGGAACCAGTGCCGGCAGGGCATCAGGTTAGGACTTAGTGTGTGGGGCTGCTGCCTGAGGCTAACTTAGCTCCGTGCTTAAATGGACCATACCCCCCACTCCGGACAGACGGTTCTCAGGGTTCCCCGCTTTGCTTGTCTACCTCGAGGAGGGAAAGCAAAGCAGTCTGCCTGCACTCGGAACACCACAGCACTTGGGCACATAGAGCCAGAGCTGCCCCTGGGCACGCCGGTGTATCTCGTGGGGTCGTTGCCATCAGCCCGGCTGCACTTGCTGCAGGCTGCCATCTGGGGGGGTCCATTGGGGGTTGTCAGGATCTAGAAGGCCCTGCAGGAGAGCGTCCACCCCGAGGAGCCTTTAGAGCCACCCCGGTCCTCCCCACTGGGGGCTTGTGCCCCATTCCTCCCTCACGTCCTTCCACTTACCCCTTCCCTAGCCCCGCTTCCTGATGTCAAACAAAAGACACATATGTTCAAAAAGAGAAACTGGGTTTATTGAACAAAACTGGGGGGGGGGATGAACCTCTGGGGAGACTGAAAAATGAGATGGGAGAGGGGAGGGGGAAACCTGGGAGGAGGGAGATGGAAGGGTGAAGCAAGGGGGAGGGGAAGCTCAGGGCCCAGGGTTGGGGGTCTCACCAGACCAACCTGACTTTCATGCAAACCTGCTTCTGGGTTCGCATGTGGCCTTTGGTGGCCAGGCTGGCAGCTATTCTGCCATAGAGGGCTGCATTCCTCTGTCTAGTGTGGAGATCATGGGCGCTGGGGGCATCCCCCCCTCCCCCAAACCTGAATAAGATCCATGATCTTCACCCTGGACCGGGAAGGCACCCACCTTCTCCGGGCCATGTCAGGCTCCTGGGAGCTGGCAGACTGCTCCTTGGGAGCGGTAGAGGGCTGGCTGCCAGGGGCTTGCTGGCTCATGTTTTGGGGCCACTGGGTCAGGGATAGTGACTCCTGGCTCTGGGTTGGCAGGCTTGGAGCTGGCACAGGCACTGTGACCAGAGTCTACCCCTTTAAGGGCTTCAGGGAGGAGGGGAGGGAGAGAATTGTTCTTGGTTGAGGCTGGAGTGGCGGGGAGCGGTGGAGGGCTGGCTGCCAGTGGCTTGCTGGCTCATATTTTGGGGTCACTGGGTCAGGGGCCCCACCCCGGTGTCCACTGCTGGCTCTGGGCTGGCAGGCTTGGAGCTGGCACAGGCACTGTGACCAGGGTCTACCCCTTTAATGGCTTCAGAGCTCAGGGAGAGGAGAGTAAGTTTTCCTGGTTGTGCCCAGAGTAGCCACCAGGGCTCCCTGGGAAGGGCTGGAGGCCCCCTATTTCGAATTAAGTGTCTACACAGCACTTAATTTGAAATAGCTATTTCGAATTTGGTGTTACTCCTCATAGAATGAGGTTTACCAAATTCAAATTAAGCACTTTGCTATTTCGAATTAATTTTGAAATTGTGGTTTGCATGTATAGATGCTATTAAAGTTAATTCAAAATAATGGCTGTTCTTTCAAATTAACTTTGCAGTGTACACATACCCATAAATCCATTACATATCAGCATAGGTATGAAGCTAATTCCATTATCAGTGTCACCATATGCAACCAGAGAAATTCCATTGTGCTCCTTTCAAATAAATTATTTCAGTAAATGTGCAGGTTTTACTGATCTTAAAATTCTAATGTAATCTCCCAAATTGCTATGAGATTTATCAGCTTTTCTTTATTAGATGCCCCTCCCCCTCCGGTTCTTAGTATTTCTATTTTAGCTTTGTATAGCCACTTCCTCTAAGTGTATGTGGTATATTTGAGAGTGAGTATATGAAATGTCAGTAATCGTGATCCTTCAAGATTATAACTAGCCAGGTGCTGAGCCCCCTGAGCTCCTGTGGAAGTCAGTGGTAGTTCAAGATTCTAGGCAATGTCAGAGCCCAAATGATTAAATCTTATATGTAGCCACCCAAAATGGATAAGACTTTCAGGATATTGCATATGAAAATGAAAAAGCACAGAGGCCTTGAACCTGATGTACAGTACCACAAGAATTGTGAATGAAGAAAACCTCACCACTCTCAGTTAAGCAATCTACCAGCCAGAATGCTGAGTCTTCTTGCAACCTGGATCAATAGTGAATTGTTTTGAAATACTTTTACTAAAAAAGTGTCAGAGTCAGCACTAAAAAAATCACTGTTTTTCTGATTGTAAAAATAATATTGGCAGGCAGGAATTATTTTACAGTCACGTGGCCTTCGGTTTATCCTCTCCTGGGTGGAGTCTATGCTGCTGATAAACACAGATGCTGTTATTTGTCTGGCAGACATCCTTTACCAATGTTGTGATGCCTTGTATGATATGGAGGGGAGTGGTAAGTAAGACCTTTATGTTCTAGATGCCACACAGAGAGGAAATAGAGCAACAACTATACATGAAATATTCTCAAATATAAAATGGCTTTTGGAGAAGCTGAAGAAAGCAGCCTAGAGAGGTCCTAACCTTTTCAGTGTTTGGCCTTTCTATAAAATGAGTCTTATAAATGGATTGTCCTTTGGTTTGGATAATTACCCAAACCAAAACAAACTCCAAGGATAAAATCCTGATCCTGTTCAAGTAAATTGTATTTTTGCTATAGATATCATTAGAACCAGGATTCCAGCCCTAATGCAGAGAGTTACCACAAGCATTAGTTTTTTTAAAAAGAAAAGAAAGAACAGTTTCTGGGTGAAAAACAAAAAATGGTCTGGTAGCACTTTATAGACTACAAAACATGTAGATGGTATCATGAGCTTTTGTGAGCACAGCCCACTTCTTCAGTGGATACTGTTGGGACTTACTCAAATTAAAAAGGAAAGTAGCAGAAGCATATGGAAGAATAAGGGTAGAACACCTCTATACTTTGGAGTTTTTTGAGACATTAAGTATTTCATGTTTTCTGGTGACAACCAGTAATAGGCTCAGAAATTTTATTTGTGACTATGTTGCCTATTTTACAGTAGATGTGGTGGTGTGCCAATTTGTGAATGAATATCACATATTAGAAAACTAATATATTTAAGATCCTTCTGTAACCCCCCTTTTTCCTCCCCGGGTTACTGGGGAGCAGGTCACACTCATAGGTGTGCCTGGGCGCCTGGTGTTTTAACCCAAAAGAGATCCTGAGTACCCCAGTGGTGATGGTGTTTAGCTGGGGAAAGCCCTATCCACCCCCTTGCTGCAGTCCCTTGCTGGCAATGAATGTAAAGTGGCGGTGCCTCCACCTGGCTGGCTTTGTACACACACTGGTGTCTTGAGAGCATCCAGGAATATACTCATTCCAACATAAAGCTGGATGCCAGAACAACTACAAATCATATACATCTAATAGAATACTTTAAAATAAACCATCTTTACTTAACTAAACAGGGATTAACAGATTAGCAAGGAATAGCATTAACAAAACACATAACAATAACTGAAGCTTATATAGCTAGACAACAGTGACCCCACCCCAGAGTGTGCACATCCTTAGACTCAGTCCCAGACACTTGCTTGCGTTGGCGCACTGATGCTGCAGCTGTAGTGAGGATTTGGTCCAGGCTAAACAGCAGCTCTGTCCCAGGCAGCACTCTTCCAGCAAGGCCCAAACTTAATGCCTCATGCTGTGCCTATAGGAAGCAGCCTGCTAACTCCCAGTTCCAACAGGCATGTAGTAGCTGCATCCAACAGCCCCTGCACTGGGTCAATGTCCTTGGCAGCAGCCTGGCTCCCCCTTTGGTTCCAAACTGCAAGGCAGAGTCCCAGACTGCTAGGCCTCTTCTTCAAGCACATGGAGAGAGCCTCTTCTCTCTCACAAGAGTCCCTCCTACCTCTTTTGTTCCAAGGGCTCATGGGAATTGTAGTCTGGATTGCAACACAGGGTCTTTTTAGAATAAAACAGAGGTCCCTTTAGTAAGGGGACTACACTTCATACCCATATCCATTGTGGAAAAGTCTTACAGGACTTACTAGGGAGAAAACAAATAGGTTCTATAGAAATTAGTTGGAGTTTTATTTGTATTAATTTAAAAGTGTGTAGACTTTAATATAGCTTTATATAGATAGCGATTATTTTTTATTACATTCTGTAAGACTTTTTCCCAAGGGATTTTTTAAATTCCAGATAAGGATAATTAGGTTGCTCTATAACCTATATCAGAATAAAACAGAGGAAAAAAAGGCTCTCCTTGTTAATATTTACTATTAAAACTCTGGGTCTATCAGAGTGTAAGAAAACCTTTTGATAAGGATGTAGAAGGTTTATCTTTCAAGATTAGTTATGAATCTTACCTGCTTCTCCTTCTGTACCAGCTCAGAATACTTTATGGTCTGAGTAAGAATCTTCAAGAAAGCACTAATTTAAAATTTCATGAGCTAAAATATTTTCAGACAGTATTTTTTAAGCTCTAGAAGATAGCTGAAGAAATTTTATTTGAAAGACGATGCTTGATTTGGTATCATTTCACTTGGCAAAGCACAACATTTAATGAAGAGACCTTGTAGTGACAGATTCCTACTGTCCTTTGTTAGACAGTGTAGTTGTAACTATAGCAACATCTTTTCTCCTGAATCAGACCAAAGTCCAGTTATTTTACAACTTTATGACCACTGCTGTTAGTTCAATGTTCACTGGCATAATTTCTACCAGGACAAAACTAGGTCTACAATCTTTAACAGCAGGGAACAGTCTGAAGTTCTCATTAAGAAGACTAAGGAAACAAGGATAAAATCCTGATCCTGTTCAAGTAAATTGTGTTTTTGCTGAACCACAAGAAAACCCATCTCTCTGGAAAAAAATGCCATCCAAAAAAAAATCATTGATGTTTGCATCTGCCTGTTTTATCAGTCTTTGGTCTTTTGTGATAGTCTGTCTTGTTCTGGCATCTAAAAACTGGGTCTCAAGTAATGTTATCTTTATCGAAGGAAATTCAAGTGCTGTTATAACCATCACATATGGGGTTTTTGAAGGTGTATGTTCAAAGAAGGTGATTGGTGGACTTGAAACGCCTGCAAAAAATTTTGAAGGTAACTACTGTAGAAACTGATACTATAGAGTCATCTTACCTTGATACCTTTTATTTTAGTTGATACTATGAAGTTCATCTATTTTATTTGTTTATATTGTTTATACATATAATATTTTTATTGAAGACAAAAGTATTTACATAATAACATTATGGGATTTAGGAGAGTTGTAAAAATAAGAGAACAAATAGTACAGTAGATAATAGCAGCAACACAGTTGCAAATAGCAAGGCTTTCAAATTATCCAGGATCTTGTTAGTTCATAGCTTTGTCTGAGGAAGTATCAAGGTAAAAGAGAAACAGTTGTACTAAAAGCAGCAAGTCTAAGTTTACAAAAGCTTTCAGCCAAAAGCAGAAAATTAGTTACTGTTTCTTTTATTATATTTTGTATTACAAATGATTTCAGACCTAAAAGGTAATACAGTAGCTGATTAAAAATGACATATTTTCATTTATTGTGGTTTACATAAAAATTACCTATACAAACTCTAGGTTTTTTCTTTCTCCAGATTATGAAGGTAAAATTCATGCTTTACTATTTAAAATAATGTATATATAAAGTTTGTTAACTGCTCAAATCCCATTCACAAGATTACACCCTATGCTATTTCCAACAGAGAAAAAACTAGAGTGCTGGATATAAACACATTAAATAGGTTTAGAGAAATGAATACAGAGTTAAAGAGAAAAAAATGTCTGGAATAGATAACTATGTTTTGTATTTTGTTTTTATATAAAATGTGAAATATATAAAGTTTTTATTCTAAAACTTGATAGTCAAATGTTTTATGTTAGAGTATGAAATATTTAAAACATTTATCAATGCCAGTATAATTTTTTGACAAAATTTATATAAATTGACTTTCATTTTAATAAGGTTTTGGAGGGAAATATTATAATTGGGTAATGTTCATTTTTAGCTTCTTTAAAAGTTCATTCATTTTAATTGTTAAACGGTGAAGTCAGTTCAACACATAAATCAGTATTTTAAAAATTTGTGTAGCTATAAAATTATAGTAATTCCTTTTTGACTAATATCACACTATGAAATATACCTTGAAAAGTGAGCTTTATCATGATATTTCTTTGTGAGACTACCAAGATGTGCCTCTCAACATTCCACTTTGAGAAACTTAGATATGAGATTTCCAAAACAACTTAGGGAATTAGAATAAGTTATGGTTTTCCACCTAGACACATTTTAGAATTTGCCACCTATAAAAATGTCCAATAGATTGGGTCTAAGCTGTACTCTGCACTTATTTTTCTGTATCTTCAGTTCTTCATATTTCCCTTCACTAATAAATTTGCCATAGAAGAGAAGGACAGATAAAAAACAAAGAAGACCAAGCAGAAAGAGTGAGAGGTTAAAAAAGAAGAGAGAGACTTTAAATAGACTTGATGGAATTCAATTTTTATATTGTAATCATTTCAATAGATAATATGATTGTTTATTGTGAAGAATTTTTTCAGTTGTTGTCCACTATCATTTTCACAGCCATGGAAAATGGGATGGGATCAGACAATTATTTAATTATGGAAGATGTTGAAATTCAACAAGTTAAAATTTTATGCTGCCAAGTGTGGTCCGTGGACCACTAGAGTTCTGTGACCATCTTAAAGATGGGCCTCCCTACTGCAGAGAAGCTGGTGCTCCATCCCCACAAGGTTGGAGTGCCAGCGCCAGCTTCCCACTTCAATGGGGGAGAGCCTCATGGACTGCATCTGGCTCATGGGGAAGGAAGTGGCTCCACACGCTGCTGCTCCCCCTCATCTCAGCTGGATGAACAATGACACTGGAAACTGCTCACCTGGAGGTGTTCCTAAATTCTTAAAAAATGAAAATAGTGACACAGTTTGGTCATGGAGTCCATTAAAACAATTTCAGCTAGAATGAAGGTTTGGGGGACAGATCATCCCTATATCTGTCTAACTCTGGTGCTTCTCCTGGATGTGTTGCTGCGAGCCTGGCAGTACGTTCTGCAGGCAGTAACAGTCTCCCTGGTGTGCCCCACTGGGGGCTTGTGCCTCATTCCTCCCTCATGTCCTTCCACTTATCCCTCCCTAACCCCACTTTCTGCTGTACAATAAAAGACACATATGTTCATTACAACAAAGCCTCTTTATTGAGCAAAACTGGGGTGGGGAGAAAGTAAAACTGAGGTGAGACTGGGGAAAGAAGGTGGGAGAGTGGAAGAGGGAGGGTGGGAGAGGGAAGGGGGAAACCTGGGAGGAGGGAGCTGGCAGGGGGATGCATGGGGAGGAAGAAGCTCAGGCTCAGGGTTGGGGGGTCTCACCGGCCTCGGCATCCCTGGGGATATGGGGAGGAAGAAGTGGGAGGGGGAGAAGGAGTGGGAGGAAGAGTGGTAGCAGGGCTAGAGCAGCAGGAGGCAGCAAGCTCTGCCCCAGGGTCGATGACCACCTGGGGGGCATGGACCATCCTGCCCCCCAGGATGTGGTCCAGGAGCACCAACATCAGCTTCCCCAGGGGCAGCTCCGGCTCTGGCTCCACGCTGCAGAGTGCGAACCTGCTCCTAGGTTCACATGTGGCCTTTGGTGGCCAGGCTGGCAGCTATCCACCTGTAGATGGTTGCGTTCCTCCATTTAGTGTGGAGATCATGCACGTTGGAGGCATCCTCCCAAACCTGAATTAGGTCCCTCATCTCCTCACTGGATCAGGCAGGCACCCACTTTTTCCAGCCTCTGGCAGGGTCCTGGGAGCTGGCAGACTGGTGGAGGGCTGGCTGGCACTGGCTGCCTGGCTCATGCTGGGGCCACTGGGTCAGGTGCAGCGACTGCTGGCTCTGGGCTGACAGCCTTGGAGCTGGCACAGGCACTGTGGCCAGAGTCTACCCCTTTAAGGAGGGGGAAGGGAGAGGAGTTTTCTTTGTTGTGCCCAGAGTTGCTACCAGGGCAGCCTGGGAAGGGCTGGAGCCCCCTATTTTGAAATAAGCATCTACACAGCGCTTATTTCGAAATAGCAATTTCAAATGAGGTTTACCAATTTCATGGAATGAGGTTTTCCAATTTTGAAATAAGCCCTCTGCTATTTCGATTTAATTTCAAAATAGCGGTTTGACTGTGTAGACGCTGGTAAAGTTATTTCAAAATAATGGCTGTTATTTCGAAATAACTTTTCTGTGTGGACATGCCCCTAGTTCTCCACATGCTAGTATGATATCAAATTGTGTGGTGGGGAAGTGGCACAGTCCCTTGGAAATTGGAGATATTTTACTTCTGATGGATCGATGATATTGAGTGTCCTATACTGTCCATGTGCTGGTCCTGGTGCCACAGTTTCCCCTAGAAGAGGTGGTTTGCTGGTTGTAGCATTGTAGTTGGTTCCACTTCTTGTCTGTGTGTTAGATGGGGGTTTGTTTGAGGGGACATTGATAGTTTTGTGTTTTTCCATGATCTTTGGGTAGGTTTCCCTATTTTTTTTTATAGCCAGTATATGGGAGCATGCAATGATCTCTTATTTGAGGTTGTCCCTTGCAGAATATCTAAGGTGCAGGAGATGGTTGCTCAGTTTTTCCTAGGTCTTTCTGCAGAATTTCCCACCATATTTGAAGAAATAGATATTGTTGTTCAACTGGGCTTCGTTCTTCATATTATAAAGTTTCCATTTTAAATGGCAGAATTTGATATCTTCCAAAGTTGTTCGCAATGTTCTTCTTGCTGTTTTGAATTTCCAGCAGCCATTATTAATCCTTCCAAGCAAAGATTCAAACAAGTTTTTAACGGGACATTCATCATTATGTCCATGTTTATATTATGAGAATGGCAATTTGCTTTGCAGCAATTTAAAACTAACATTTAAAAACTAAAGGGATTTTAAAATGCATGTAATCATTTAGCTAGCAGGTAAAAGAGGAAACATATCTAGCTTCATAATCCCGAAAGATTGTATTTTTTAAGAATATATAAATAATGATATTACAAACATGTGCACAAAGAAAATGCGAAGGGAGAGGTATGCTTTTTCTTCCATAAGTTTTATATGTCCATTAGGTAGAGTTATGAACATTTAAATACACAGCATATACTCTAACAACAAGCACCTTATACACTATGAATCACAATAACATGTTCTGTGGTAGTTTCTCCTGAGGCACTCCCATTGATCTCAATGGATAGTGTGTGTGAAAGAAACAGAAAACGTGCAATAAATATCTGAAACATGAATTAGAAAGGAGAATTTTGTCCCAATAAGGCTATTCTTGGGATCTAAAGAATTTGCTGGCAATAATACTATGGTTGTTTTAAAAGGGTTAGCAAATTAGTAGCCTTACAAACAGACTAACAAAGATCTTTACAATGACAGCCTTCCAATTTATTTTGGATACTACTCCACGGAAAGGTATATTGGTTTTTCTGTTTTACATTTTGGAAGTTAACAGTACAGAGCACAAAAAACTTAACTAAGCTAACAGCAGCCTACTAACCAGCTGTTAATGATTTATATGGAGTAATTCAAGTATTTTGTACTTTTGTTAGCTAGGCAGAATGATCTGGCAAAAATTCAGAAGCTATTAGTCACTTCAGAACTTTTGTATACCTAGCAAAACATAAGCAGTGTTTGTGTTTTGATTATTAACCTGTGGCAGGAACATTGGAACAGTTGGCTTGGCTTGTTTTCAAACTGAAAGCAAACTTGGGCCATTTTTAGACAATTTTGTTGAAAAGCTGCAGGGTGGAGTGTGCATACATGCCAGTTTTGAATTAACTATATTAAGGAACAGGAAGAAACATCATTAGAGGAAGCTTTTTTTCCAGTATCTGACAAAACCCTTGACAAACACTTGAAAAGTATTGACGCTAGAATTGACTAAGATGACTATTGATTTTTAAGCAGAGAGGCGTTTTCTGATGCCTCATTGGGAGATATCATGTTGGGTTGAATTCTATTCAGTATATTCTACGTTGGATCCGCACTTACGAATGGGGCTTTCTCACACCGGAGGTCGAGGTGGCGGATTGCTACCTGCGAGCTCCGGGGCGAGAAAGCCTCGTTCGTAAGCTGCTCCGATACCCCTGGTCTGCTGGAGACCGTCTCCAGCAGACCAGGGGCACCGGGCGGGTTCCCGCACTTCTGAGGCTTTGCCAGAGCAAAGCCTCAGAAGCGCGGGGAACCGCCGCTGCTGCCGCTTCCCTCCCCCTGCCCTTGGTCTGCTTGGGGGCCATCCCCCGCAGACCACCGGCACCG